ACCCTACATAGGATTAGTATAATCTACATTACTTATCGGAATTTCAACAGTACATATAAGGTTGAAGTGAACTACAGAGATTTTTGCACAGACTACGATAATGAGATATGTTCTGATAATCTTATTGGCTGTCATTTTATCTTATTTGATAATATATTTAGATTCCATCATGAATGATGTGTCTCAAGTAATCGATGATCTTCTAATACAAATTGAAAGTGAACTATCTCCTAATCATTCATCAACATTCACAAGTTTTGTTGTTGAAGATATTGTAAACAAAATTCGTTTAACATCATTAGCACAAAAACAATCTTCAAGTAATGATGATATATCTTCACATTCACTTTCAAGTTCAATTGTTGATGTACCATCAATTCAATCAAGTCGTTCAATATCACCATCACAAATAATTAATGATACAAATCAAATTTTACAACCAATTGATAAACGTATTCTTGATGATATTGAATTATATTCACGTGAACTTGCACAAGAATTTGTTACATCCGTTGAACAATTAACATTATCTTTACATAATATGTCAGCAAATAGTGTTTGTTGTTTACAAACATATCGTGATGCTGTTGGAGAAAAATTAAATGAAACTATTGAAACAAATATTAAAACTATCTACTCATTTATGGCACAAGCAGAACAATTAAGTACACAATTACAACCAATTTATGAATTACAAAAAAAAATAACATATATTAAACAATTACTTGATATTTTATCACAATCTATTTAATATATATATGTATAGTTTTAGTTTTATTTTCGTTCTTATTTTAAATATACGTATTTATCTATCTACATACATACATATATATATGACTGAATCTGTATGATTTTTCTTTTTTGAAGATTAAATAATTTTATTATGAGTAATAAATCAAAGTTTAAAACATTTGTTATTATTGATCTTGAAACAACTGGATTGATATATGACGAACCAAAAATTACTGAATTAGCTATGATTGCTGTAAATATGTATGTCATATTATTATTTTTTTTATATTTAATGAATTATAAATGTGGCGTTAAATGTTTTAGTGAAACACTGGAAGGAATGAAACCAGACGAAGAATTACCGCGAGTATTGGTAAGTGAATATATATTTATGTTAACCTTTTCC